ACAGTACGTTATTCTTATAATTAAAATTAATCACACAAACATGAGTAAAAGCAGTTGAAATATAAAATCGCTGGTTATGCTCATTACTTATAAACTGTCTTATTGTTTGCTAAAGTAATTTAAATAAACTCATTATTTTTTAAATTTTTTATTCATGATTTAAAAAAATCTAAGAAAATTTCAGAGCATTTCATGACAATAATTTCAACTGTTATGATTTTAAACTTTTTTGTTATGATTGTCAATCCTACCTGCTACAATTTTCCTCACTAGATTTCCTAAGAAGCTTTTGATGATACTGACTTCATAATTTTACAATTTATTCAACAATCCTAGGATTCATTAACATAGTTGAATTAAAAATCAACCATATATTCATGATAATGCCCAGCAAAGAAATCACTGTTTTCAACATACGACTGATGACAATAAATAAGCTGGCACAAACTGACTGAAAAGAAGGAATTAGACAGATCACATTCAGACACACACAAACAGAGGGAGTTGGAGGAAAGAGTTTAAATAACAAGTTGACTGGTTATTTAATTCTATAAAAGCTAACTAAGGAATCCTACACATCTGCCACTACTGATCATATCACTGAGCTCCATCTCTTGTCTAATGGTAGGAACATCAAAAACTGATGTCTCAAGAGTGATGGGGAATAATGTGGGCATGCCGAATCTTGCTTTTTACAGTGATAGAGAAAAAAAATAGTTACATTGATTACATGAGCTAAGCTGAAAATAAGTGGTGGCTCTACACTGGTGTGTTTGGCTGACCAGCTATAGCTTTCCATAGCTTTTGTGATTGAGGAAGGAAAATGGCTTATTTCAGCAGGACAATGACCTACTTGCTCTACTTTAACCTACATGCTACCATTCAGATAAGCCTCAAATAACATCTTACTGTATTTCTTGACCATCCCCAGATCCTCAGATCCCCAGCTTTAAACCATTTTGAATGTTCTTCAGCAATGTGAAAGTTATGGTGATTCTCATGTACGACTGTGATGGTGTCATTCTAACGCATACCGTTCCCCCACAGCAGACCGTCACTACGCAGTATTACTGCTCATTTTTGGAGCACAATCTCCGACCAGCTTTGAAAAAAAAAAAAAACGGCGACACTTTCTGCAGAACGCTCCTCTCATTTTGCATGACAATGCTCGGCCACATGCAGGTGCTGCTACAGGTATTCTGCGACTTCCCCATCGTTGGAAACAGGTTGTACACAATGCTGGCGACTATATTGAAGGACTGTAAAACATGGTGACATGAATCACTTTTGTATTCCTTGTAAATAAATAGTTGCCACTATTAAAGCGACTATATTGAAGGACTGTAAAACATGGTGATATGAATCACTTTTGTATTCCTTGTAAATAAATAGTTGCCATTATTAAAGTTCCAACCCTCGTAAAAAAAAAAATTTGAACTACCTGTAAGTAGTGCCAAATTGATTACTGAAAATGAAATCATTAGTTCTTACATGTTCATAATAAAAAAATATTACACGAAAAAAATTACTCCTTTTAAAAAGAAAATACTTCAGTTATCAGTTTTTGCACAATTTTAAAGTGGCAAATTTTATTTTCTTTAATAAGCAAATATGATAATTTTGCCCATAGGTATTGTTACTACCATAGGTATTGTTAATAAAGTTTTCCACGTGTTTTTTGTGGTTAAAAATACCAGCAAAATCGAACAATCGGTAATAAAAGGAACACCATAAAATGCATTGGGTTTTCGTGATGAACTATTTCATGGAAAAGTCATCAACATATGATTTTTTAAAAGCACATAACTTTTTGTAAGGGGGTTCAAACATACTTAAGAAAAAATACTGGACATTTTTCAACAGTTTCTTGAAACACATGAAATTTACACTGCTTAGCATTGAAACAATGCAAAGAACAGTCTGGATGAGCTTTGTATTCACTAATTAGTATATGCCAGATGATCAGCAGTGGCACATGATGCTCACTGAAGAACTGGAACATAACATTTTCAAAGAAGCCACCTTGATTGATAAAATGGTTAGCGTTGTTGGCTGACATATCGTTCGGCTCTTGGGCCCTACGTTTCGGATCTCAGAAAAGGAATATTAAATGTATGGTGTCTGTGCAATACGGGAGGAGGGTGAATTAAACCATTTCATACACAAGAGATTAAGCTATTGGATGCAAATAATTATTATTTTTTTAATTTTAATTTAGATACAATTTTGATATGGATGTTACAATAACACAAGATGCAACTGCCTTGACTAGTCCACAAGCTTCTTTCACATATGCATTGTTTATTTGTATTATTAAGTCTTCAAAAAGAAATCCTGACAAATTCTGGTTAAAAAAGAAACCCAGTTCCTAGATCCTACCTAAGAATCTCATCAAATTTCATTATTTTATGTGACTTGTGTATCTGCCATTCAGCTAGATAAAAAAAAAAAAAAAAAAAAAAAAAAAAAAGTGAAATTTTAAGTTTAAAAAAAAAAAAAAAAAAAAGTGAAATTTTAAGTAAAAAAAAAAAAAATATATACATTATAAACTGGATCTCCAAATCACAAAATTGGAAGTCTCCATACAAAATGGGAATGTTGGCACTTTTGAATGTTTGCTGATATTATCTGCTCAGTATTTAAATATTCTATAAAAGACAAACTTGTTCATAAGTTTTCCCTTCCCCCACCCCCAATCTTTTTTTTGGGGGGAGGGGAATTATTTGGTTTTATGGATAGAAATTTACAAAATCTACAATCGTACATAAATGTGCATATTGTTCCTATTACTGCAACAGATCACATGTAAGAAATTAGTAACTTTTCAGGACCATGAAAAAAGAGAGAGAGAGAGAGAACAGATTTATAAGGATTGCAGCTACACAGGTGATACCTGCACATACCCATATTTTCTCTCCATTTCCTTGCCCTATATTATATTTTGAAAGAAACTAGACATGATTACTGGATCTATTGGATGGCATCTTAATTTTAAACAGACTTATTTATATGTGACCTATTGCAATAGATAATAAGCTTTCACTACCTTACAGCAAAAAAGAGGTAAATATGCCATATATTATAACCAAGAAGTGGAAAAAAAATCATATTAAAAATTATAATAATATCAGCAAAAGTGCAACAGAAACTGTAAATAAATATGAAAAACAACCTACACATAGCTAAAAAGCAGAAGATGAAATGACAGTAACAAACTTTCACAAGCTATTTCTATGTAATACACAATGAAATGCTCCTTAAAAATAACATTAAATATATATAATATAACCCTCATTGTAACATAAATTTTATATTTTCAACATTCAACAAAAACATTTCGGCAATACAAATACACTTAAAAATTAAAACTACAATTTAAACAACTTATTTCAAAATTCATATGGGGCCAAATCTGAGGTAAAACTTGGCAAACAAAACAGGCAAACATGATTGATACAATCATATACTTTCATAGCTAACTGAAAGAGACGCATACCAATGCCAAATTCTGACACAGGTGATATTCTGAGGGCAATCTCATAAACTCCCTTTTTTTTTAGAGGTAAAGAGTTTTGCTTCTGAAGAAGAAAAACTTACATCTGATCATCCATGAAATAAATCATTTTGTTAGAATTCTGTGACAGTCTGAGGCTGCTTTTTTGTTTAAATATATGTTTAGATTTATAATGACTTGAAACACTTCTGCTAATAATTCTTAAGTTTGCAGTAATTTCAGTAATCTTAAATACTTTTTTCACCATTCTTATATTTTAATTCAAGAGATGCAATATCAGAGTCGTAGCTAGGGTTTTCAGCGCCCAGGGACAACTGAAGATTTCGTGCCCCCTACTGCTTGCCAAGGATGGAAAACATTTAATTCTAAAATGTCGTAATATCAGTTTGGCGTCCTTTGGATTCTGCGCCCGGGGACAGATGCCCCTGCTTGCCCCCCTCTAGCTACGGCCCTGTGCAATATTAAACATGAAAGCAACAAATGTGAATTATTCCAAAATTCTTTATATGTGAAAGACAAAATGGCATGAAATATAGAATAGATATAATAAAAAATTATACAATCAAAATAGAAATAATTTAGAGAAATGTATTCTGGACACATATGCATTACTATAAATACAAGGCGATCAAAATATGGATGTTAAAAGGTCTGTTAAATGTTCTACATCACTTTTTAGTCAGATGCTGAGAATGAAAAATTGTGTTAAGAAAGTATACTGAAACTAAATATAGGGGGGGCATCCACAAATGTGCCACATTTTTTGTAGGGAGAGGAGTAGGAGATAAATTAAGGATTATTTTGATTCATATATTTACCAAACGATTTTCAAAAAGTACAAAGAATATATTTTATGAAAATTACTGACACTTGAGTAAACACACATTTTTAATTTTTTTATACAACTTTCAATGTTATACTCTTTTTATATTTTTATAAACAATTATTGAATTCATAATATGGCACACAAAATATTTTGTTCTGCATATTACAAATCCCTATATAACTAGAAGTATTTAATGCTTGGGAAGCACAAACCATGGATGGCACTTGGTTTGTCAAACAGTAATTGCAGTTTTACTCAACATAAAATTGTCCGGCAAAATAAAAGACTTTAATTATAAGAAAGCAATGCCATATTCTGATATATTTTATAAGTTTTGCATAATTATTTTTATGGCATAAATGATATATTGAAGATTTCTTTAAGTAAATCTGAATGTAATTTATATACGTACATAATAACAAAATGAACACTTTGAATGAAACAGTACCTAAAATTTCATAAAAATGAAAAATATAAATTTAATTTTATAATAAATGATAAATATAAAACTTTAACATTTTTTGTTCAAAAATTTCCAATTTTTAACAATTTTTGTTTCTTCAAATCAATTTTGTTTAAAAACTTTAAAAAGCCAATTTAAAATTTGAATTTTATTAAAAACCTTTAACATTTTTTGTTCCTTTCAAAATTTTAGCCAAATTTAAAATGCAATTTTATTTTTGAATGTTCAATTGAAATAACAAGGTCAAGGAACTAAAATTTTGCTTTAATCATAAAGTAGACAATGTTCAAAAATAATTTATAAATTAATCTTCAATTAAATCTAAATCATAAGCTCTGTGAAACAACGATCTGTTATAATCATAAGAACTTGCAGTTTTGGAGCAAACTTTTGCTGGTATATCAGGATCACCAATCAAAATTAATTTACTAATTCCATATAAAAGTGGGATTAAAATTTCAGGTTCTGTACACAAATTTGCTTCATCTATAATACAACACATATGGGCAATATGATCAAATTCTGCACATGCCTGTATAATAAGTTCATCATGGCAATTACGAATTTGAGACAAAATAACATCACATTCACTAATTATGCGTTTCTTAGTAGTCAGAAGTAGCTCAGTCTTTGATTGATCTTTGGTTAAATGAGTCTTATTTTCATTTGATAATTCACCTGATTTAGCAGAGATGTCCGCTGCAGCAAGATCATCTAACATATACTTTCTCAGTTTTTGATGAACATCACCTCTTTTACCAATAATCACAACTTTTACTTCAGAATCTTCAAGATTAAATCCAATATCTGTTAAAGCTTTTGTAGTTCTGGTACATAACAGTACTTTAGTTGCATAAGATGATTTCATCCTTTCCACTAATTGAGGCAAAATCAACAAACGATCAGATGATGGCAATGATTTTACAACAGTAAGCAAAGGAAGTGGATGGGGTGATAAAATACCTTTCATAACCTCTCTTACACATTCAGACACTTTATCAGCTGCTTTCTGAAGATGGCGCGCAGCAAGAGCTACTGTCCGTAACCCATCTTCTAAAGGATTCAGAATATTTGCATATAAAGGGGATACTTGTAAATTTAATAAAGCATCATTCTGTTTTAAAGTGGACTTGATATTGCAAAGCACCTGAATGCGAATAAGTTGCTTTTTGTCGAAATCTTCTGATGAATAAGCACCCTTGAAAGACAATTTAATCAACTGCAACTGATCTCCTGCACTGTATTTGAGAGTCTTATAACATACATTGTCAGGTTCCATTTCAGGATTAAAATGTTTAACTTTAACATGTGTAACATATCCTAGAATTTTAATCCCTCCCTTTCCTACAGTGGCAAACTTCACTACTATAATATTCCCTTCTTCAGGAAATATCCCTCTATCAACATCTGAACTCTTATAAACAGTTCTGCACTCAACATTTATATAATGAGTTTCAACTGTATATGATGTTATTTCACAGAAGTATGGTGTAGCTTGATGCAAGCGTGTCCATGACACATAAATTCTCTGCCATGTTTCCAGCAATAATAACGGAAAGTATGTATTATAATAATCTTCCATACTTTCATAGCTGTTTTTAACTTTTTTAACTAATTTTGATATAGGAGGAGGGTCATGATTTCTTTGCTGCTGTACAAGCCAGTCAACATTCCATTCCAAAATTAATAAAAGAACATTTATTGTTTCAAAAATCTTTTCTCCAACAGATGCTTTCATGTGCCTTGGAGGAAGACATATACATCTACTAGTTTTCAACCTTGCTGACTGTTGCTGTGAGCTTTGTGTTGTTTGGGTAACAGGTATAGGGATAGTTGCACCAACAAGAACAGGATTACTTAAACTAGAAGTATCGAAACCAAAATCGACAGGAGAAGCATTTGGCTGCGTAGTGTGGAAAACTGGCATCAAACGATCAGTTATTATTTCTGGGGAAATAGGAGCAACCCTGGAATTGTACGGTTGAAGTCTAGGATCAGATCTACAAGAATTTTTATACATATTAACTTCAATAAAATGTTCTTTATTAAACTGCGTACTGGCTTTTAGATGATTGATCACTGTAGAACAAGGCACTGGAGGAATCTCTTGTATTTTTGGTCTGTTAGGAAGATACGTTTCAGAAAAATTGCTGGAAGGTGTATTTAAAATGGAGTTGTTTACTATGTGTGTTGCTGGATTTGCAGAAGAATAAAGAGGATCAACTGTATCAGAATAATTCACTTTCCGTCTGTAAACTGGGTAACTCACAGGTTTTCTTACATTCTTCGTGTCATAACTCAACTCACTAACTCGTTCATATGAAGGATTATTCAAGACACTTCTGTGACGAAACATATCTGTTTCTGAAGACTGAGCTACTTGATGTTTGTCTTCAGTTCTAATTCTCGGTTTATTTCTGTCAGAAATTATTTCTATTTCTGGAGACTGAACCATTGAATGGAATTCATCTGTTTTAACTCTAAGTGTATTATTTTTAGAATTACTTTTGTATGGCAACTTTTTAAATTTAGGTGGCTGACTAACGGATGACTGAGTTAAAAAACTGCCTCGATTTGTCACTCTGTTCCCATAAAAACGTTTACCATGACTATCGCTTGATTTTTCTCTGGTCTCGATAATCTTAGGCGAGTCGGGCATTTTTTCTCTTTTGGGATCAAACTTTTTAACAACCTTGTCGGGTGAAAACAAAGATGGTGTCATAAAAGTCACAGTTTTATTAGTTGTACATTTCTGATTTCTATAACCTTTTTTGGGTCTTTTGTTTTTATATTTCTTCAGTTTTTTAGATTCATCAAAAGTTGCATATCTTTTTTCTAGGTTAGTTCTTCTTAAGTTTTTAGACACATCAAGACTATTTGATTTCTTGATGGAATTTGTCAATTCACTCTTTGTACTTTTTTTACATAATTTACCACTTATAGTTTCAGAAACAGGAAAACATTCTTTCAATAAATGTTCATTTAATTTTCCTTTTCCTCTTGATTCAGGTTCAACTGTTTTTCTTTCCATGATTTTTTCCCACCTGCTTTTATATTTAGGCTCACTTTTAAGTAGTTCTTTTTCATCACTGCTAGGCTGTTTGTTTGAATTATCTTCTTCATCACTTCTGGTGGCCACATCCACATCAATATAATCTGCACCATCGTCAGATAAATTTTCAGAATCACTAACAGGAATATTATTTGAAGTTTTATTGGCACTTTCATTACAAACTCTATCTGGGGTGACATTTGGAATATTATCTTCACAAAATCTTGCTGGTTTGTGGTCATATTCATGGATTATGGGAATTTTTGAGTGAACAGACTGCTCCATAACATCTGAATAATTTAAGTCATAATGATTATAGTTTAATGCTGTATTTTTTAACAGCATTATGTCCTTATTATTAGTAGCTTCATTATGAATATAATCAGGAGTATCTGATGAAATGATATTTTGAGTCAAATTTGAATGCAAACTTTCAGCAGTCTGAACTATTTTCAACAGTTCAGAAATAGGTATATCAATTTTCTCCAAGCACTTATTTGAAACTGCACTATCTGGCCAAGCAGCATCCTGTTCCTTGAGATTGTTGTTACATTTGGCAATTCCATTATTAACAAATAACTCATTATAATTCTCAATTACAGGCTGCAGAGGATTATTAACAACAGATGGTGAATCCGAATATGTATTTTTATTATCTGAAATAACTGATGATAACTCTGTCTGATCATTCAGTGGCATAAAATTATCTACAGATGTCAACTGAGTACTCTGAATGATACTATAAAGCATGTCCTTGCTAATGTCAGTACAATCTACATCCTGTTGTACTTTATTTTCGGTTGATGGTCCTATTATTTTATTTTCCATACCAATTTCTAAATTCTGAACAAATGAATTACTGTTATCAGATAACACTTCTCCCACGTTATAAGCATCAAGATTCATGTAACTCTCCTTCGTGCAATAAGCAACTTCAGAGACTCTGGAGCCAATATTATCAATCTTTATAGAATTATTGGTGAATGAATTAAATTTTTGTGCAAGATCTGAAAACAAATTGCTCAATTTCTCAGGCTCTGATACCTTAAAATCATTAACACTTGCAACAAAATCCACCTTATCTTGCCCAGACTTTAAGGTAGGAAATGTTTTAAATTGATCACTGGCTTCACCTTTTTCTGCAACTAAATTAGATGAATCACCTTGTTTAGGATTATCATATTTTACCATATCTTCAGAGACTTCATCAGGATTAAAGTTTTCAAAGAATTTTCCATAGACAGTATTTTGATTAATATTAGCTTGAAGTGATGGAATACCCTTATCATCCACATCTGAACTGGATACTGGAAGAAACCCAACTTTTGGAAAATTCTCATTATCTGCAGGTAATAATTTTGAAGGTTTATAGCATTTGGAGAGTAATTTTTGAGAAGGAGCTATACCCAATATTCTGTGATAACATTCTGCTTCTGCTTCCATAAGTGGATATATTATTAATTTGACTGTATCTTCAGATTCATTCTGGAAAGTTACAGCTTTACTTTCAGCACAGCGTAATCGAGATACAACTTCTTCTAAACTTAAATTAAGGGATAAGGGATTTATTCTGGCATAAAGATTAGATCGGCATCTATGTTTACGCCTAAGGGGGCCCAATGATGCATCAGCTGGATAAGGATACATATATAAAGATTTATATTTCTTTTCTAAGTTAGCTGTATAGTTATCAGATGGTACTTCCTTTAAGGAAAACTTTTCAAGTTTTGTTTCTTCACATGGAAGTTTGCGATTTGAAGGAGAATTATCATGTAAAAGAGGAATATTTTTCGCTTCAGAAACCAAGTCAATACTAGAACAGTGATGCGATATATCAGAAGTACTAACTGAATCAGAAAGCAAATGAGAACTCTTCACAGTTTTTAAAGATTCTTCTTTATTTAAATTTGATGAGACTTCCACAACACTCTTTTCGTTACATGAAATTTCATGTAAGGCATGCTTATCACTCCCGATACTTATCTGAGGTTGAACTGGAGATGTAAATGCACCGACTGCAAGAGACTGAGACTCTTGTGAAGGAAGACAGTCTGACTGAGAAACTTCTGGGGTGATTTTATTTGAGTCACATATAAGAGATTTTTTTCTTTCACTTTCTTGTATACAAGAATTCCCTGACTCAGATTCTATGGACTGAATTACAGTAACTAAGGAAGCAGTGCTATGAGAAGGTACATTATTTAATTTTTTTGCATCATTTTTACTAACTTCTGTAGATGATGAGAACACTACATCAGATTCCGAATTTGAGCAGGAATTAGAATTTATTTTCCCAGAAATATCTCCAATTGAATGATCAGTTACCGATTGTTTAGCAATACTGGATTCAGCATCAGATGACTCAGAAATGACTGATATATTTTCTGTTAATGAAACTTTACAAATGGTACTTAAGTCACACTCTTTATTCTCAGATGTAGCTGTTCCTTTTTTAAATATAGGTATTTCTTCAACTGATGAAGTATCATCACAAGGCTCCTTTTTAATTGCAGCAGCAATATGCAAAGAATTAGAATCATCAGAAAATATCTGACTTGCATGTTCAATTGTTTCCCTAGTATTAGAACTATTGCTTTCATGAGTTCTAAAAGTTACTTCAGGCAAAGGTGATCCACTGACAATCCTTTCATTGCTGGACATTTGATTCAACACACAAATACCAGCAGAATTATCATCACATGGTTCGTTTTTAATTTTAACAGCAGACGGAAGTAAAGAACAAAAATCTTTATGTGGTATATCTGTACAGTTGTCTGTTGAATTTGTGCTATGATTAAACTGCATGTTGTCTGAACATAAATGAGAATTTAAATTAGAGATGTTTTCAGAAGTACTAGTTGAGCTCTGTTTATAATTTAAAGTATTCAAAATATTTTCAATGGTTTCAGGAATGCTTGGAATTTGACTGGCATTTAAAATTGACTGCTGACTAGAAAATGCATCAGTATGGGAATTACTTCCACTCCCAACTGGTGATTGATGACCTGTATTAGAAATGTTAAGCTTAACTGTATTAAATGCAGAAACTTCGTTAAATGAAGCATTATCAGTATCAGTTAGTTCTTGTTTAATTTTAATAGGAAAAGTTGAAGAACTGGATGTGTTTAATGATGCTTCCGGTGAAATTTGCAATAAATCAACTTTTTCACAGGACTGTAAACTTTGCACAGATAAACTACTGCCTGACATTTCTAATATGCTTTGAACAGCATTACCAGGTTTTATTGTTTCTGGGAGTTTGTTAGAATTGCTTTCACTGCAGGATGACTGATTAAATAGATAATTTCTAGATGAATCTAAAGGGATTTCTTCATCAACTGGCTCTTTTTTAATAGAAACAATAGGAGGAAGGTATAAATCAGAAGCAGACTTCTGTATGGCTGATTCAAAAGGAAGATTTGGGCTAGGAGATTTTGAATTTGTTAGGAGACTACACAGAATGCTCTGTTTTTTAGTAGTACTTTTAAGAGCTTCAGCATTTCCAGTCTTGTCTTTTTTATTGGAAGAGTCAGAAGCTGGTATACAAGCCGCATCTGATGCAATGGGAAGACCTGAAATATTATCGATTTCTTTCTCAGATTCTAAATCAATATAACGGATATTAACATTTCCAGCACACTTTTTATTTTGGCAGTGAGAAATAGGATTAACATCTTCACTTAACTTTAAATTCTGAGTACTGGCAGTACTACACTTGAGTTTCTGTTCCCAGAATTTTCCAGATATAGCTGAATCTTGATTTTCTACATCTAAACTTTTCTTTAGCACAAAAGCTTTATTTGGAATCACAGATTCTGAAGAACACAAATTATGTTTTGCAGTTAAATTACTTATAGCTAAGTTACAGTTCTTTTCTGATGCTGATAATAAATTTTCAGTATCATCTATTGGCTCTTTCTTTATTTCGATACAGTTTAAAGATTTAACAGGAATTTGCTGCTCTGATCTAGAAAGTACGTTTTCAGAAGATCCTAATCCTATCACATTAGAAGTATCATGCATTTCTAATAAAGAACTGGGACCAGTTGATTGTTTACACGAAGTATTCACTGCACTATTTTCATATGCTGATTCTGTTTCATTATTTTTATTTGAAATATGGCGATTATGATTTGTTTCAGATTTGTTCTTCTGTACAGACTCTTCATTTCCATAATCTATAATTTCTTTTTTAATTTTTAAAGCATTAAAATTATAGAGACTAAGACCAGGTTTTGCTTTTATGGTGGAATTATTTTTATTGCTTAATTTCCTTTTTTGTTCAGAAGTACAGGCAGTAGAAGTTTCATTTGTATTCAATAACTGAATTTGCTTTTCATGAGGATCATTCACTGAAACACTTGAATAATTAGCATACTCTTTACATGCAGATTTATTTTTACTTTCTTTTATCCTTATTGCTGAAAGATAAGTTGTATCATCATGATTTTCACTCACATCTTCTTCAAATGACATAAATACATATGCTTTATTTGCTTCAGTTTCAAATTTTGGAATCTGAGTTTGATTTTCACATTTTGTATTATTCATACTGCCTTTACCCAAATTATCTGCAGATGATTTCTGCCGCTGTACATTTTTAACAGTTCTTGATTTTCCCCTTTTTCTGGAAACAGTTTGATTAAAGTTAGATGGACCGCATTCCACTGGACTTTTACATGGTAATGAAGAATCTGTGATTGTCTCCAATTCAGAAGGTACTAAAAAATTATCAAATTCTGCACCACTGCAAATTGTTTGAGGAGTATTTGCATTTGACCTTGATCCTTTTCTACCTCCACCTCTTCCACGAATCTGCCTAGTTTTACCTCTTCCACGAGATCGACCTTTTGTTTTTTCCGCAATATTACAATCAATGTTGCCATTATTGTTCTGCACAACTGGAAAGTGAAATGATGAAGATTCTGGACCATATAAAATATCACATTTTGATGAGTTTTTATTCTGAACAGATAACGCTTGCAATGCACTGGGTACATGCTGAAGAACAGGTGGCAATTCATTCGTTGCATCACAGACAGAATCATCAATTTCTTGTTTGATAGGGACCAAAACAGGAGCAGTGTCATCTAAACATGAATCTTCTTCAGTTTTAATTGGTAAAGAATTGTTTCCTTCTAACCTAGTAAGCATTCCACTTTCAGTTCCATTTGAATATTCCATATAATTCAACTGTTTATTATAAGAATGATTCCGAGTTGGAACAGAACTTCGTGTGTCGGATCCCTCCAATTTTGGTAACGAAATATAGCATGCTAGCATTTCACGCGTCATCATACCTTTACTAGGCAATAACGTACCTAAGTATGGGCTTCCTTCATCTTCAGCAAGTCCATTCCAAGATTTCTGAATACTATTCTCAAGGTCAGTATCATCTAGAATAATAGTATCTGAAGAATCTGAATCTATTTTTTCATTCAACGTTAATTCTGTAGATAAATCTACAGGTTTTAGTTGATTATTACTGGAATTTTTTTTTTTAGTTTTACGTTTCTTATTACGCCAATAAACTGACTTTCTCGGCCTTTTCCTTTTTTTAATCAACTTTGTATTATCTAAGCTACATGAAGAGTTAAAAGAAATCTGAGAGCTATCAGACTGGAGGAAAGCAACATCTTCTCCACATGTTGATGAACTGGGTAAAATCCTAGCTTTCTCTGGAAATTCACGACCTGCTACTGTTGCAAGAACTTGCACATCAGGATATGCAGTATTACTTTCTACTTTACCTTTAAGTACAGATGATAACATCTGTGAGTTATCGGACGATCCATTTATTTTATTAGCCAGATTTACAGAAGTCTTATCAGACATCTTAGAATTCTTAAATATCATGTTCATATTTTCTGTAATGCATTTTTACTTTTCTAATAAATATCATCTTCTTATATGTGTTTGAAGAACACATAATTAAGATAAATTATATTACCCAGTTTCACAGAAAATTCATTATACGCACAAGAACTTTTTTCAGCCACTTAAATATACTGCAGGAATGACTTATTATTTTTAAGGACTTGAAATATTCTAATATCACCTCGGAGTTCTGTAATCACCTAAAATAAAGAGGAAATTCATTGGATTATTAGCACATTATACGAAAATATAAACTCAAAATTACTATTACAGTTGGTAAAAAGCTGAAAAACTAAACTTGACTAATTAAAAAAAAATAACTTGACTGTTAATTTATACATATTTGCATATTACAGATAGCTTACAGTAAACATTAACACTACCTGATACGAGAAATATCACTAATAAATGTAATCATTTCTGATACATTCTTGCAAATAAGTTATGTTATTTTATAGACTCCTGTCACCCAGTTTTTTTTTTTTTTTTTTTACTAATAAGGGATATAGGAGAATACTAGATATCAGGAAACATCTTTAAATTTACATATCCCTTTTTATTAAAACAAAAATTTTCAAGCAAAAGCACAAAGAAACATAGATTTAAGACATTTCTGGGGAAAATCCAAGTTGTTCAAGGTTGTAATATGATAAATATTAGGATTAATACTTCTTTTGATTACAGGAATTACAATTAGAGATATTAAGCAAAATTAGTAGAAATTAAAGAATAAGCACTTTCAAATCTTTGATTTACATTTGCTTTTATTTCATTAAATGTAAAAACTAAAAGAATAATACATCATGGATAATACTTATAAAAAAGTATTGCTTAGTCATCTTCAAAATCAAATCAACCCAAATGCATACACTTGGCCTATGCTAAGATTCTTGAAAACATTTTAAAGAAAATGACTGTGTTGCATATTTTACACTAGTCATCTGATCACTGTAATAGTTTAAACTGTCTGGAAACAATAACTTTACTGAACCATCATTGTCCCAATAAGAAAGCACAGCAGTATCGAAAAAGATTCTTCCGGTGGAAGAAAAAGAAAAAAAAAAAAACTTCTTAGCTCAAAATATAGTCAAAACTATTACAGCCTTTAACACTATGCTGTTTTTCCTTGTTTTGCACTTCTAAAATAAGCAAATACGTTTTTACTAAGGCTGTTAGAATCGTGTACTTGAATTTAATACAAACATTTCAACATGCATTACAAGATTAGTCCATTAACATCTTCATTTCTTCTAACGTATTGATAAAAGATAACTAGTAATTCTCCAAATATTTAATTAAAGTTGCAATTTATAAATTTTTCAAGGATTTAAATATAACAATTACAATTTTAGGCATTTTACAATAGATATTGATTGTTGTACAACATATACAAATGCACACAAACAGGGAGAGTTAAAACCCAATCAGGAATATAAATATTTTTATTTAACATCTAAATAATTAACAAATTAAAAAATACCAATGTAATATAAAGAATACCTTTTCAAACATTTAAAATATAGCAAGATTCCACATCACAGCAGAAACATTCTTTTAATACTTTTGCTAGGAACTGAAACAAAAAAAGATTTGTAAACATTCAGGTTGGATGCCAAATATGCTCCATATGTATTCTAAAAAATTATCAAATGGAGAAAATATGCAGCCAATTAAATTAGTATATTTTGAAAGCAAATAATAACAATAATAATTACCAACTAAACAACAGCTCAACAGATTTGCAGCACATTCAATCATGCTGTACAGGGTGGGTGTGTATATATATATCTATATACATACACAGTTCGGGTATTAGCATCACATATGACAAATTATAAGACAACACAACTTTTACAGAATAATATATTTATTTACTTCTCTTTTGAACTGCTTCATTCACAAAAACAAATGTACAAAACTTTTGTTATATATACAGTATTCAAACACAAATGTCACAGTAATGAAACAATTTCCATTACATATAACAAATCAATGATGGAACCAATTTACACAATGCCATGCCTACCATAATATTAATTACTGAAGCTAAGGTTAATTCCGAAATAAGTAAAATAAAAAATTGCCTAAACAATTATTAGCATACAAACAACTTTCTCTACCCCCTTACATACAGCACATCCACCTCTAATTTAGAGTAATAAAATAGGGCATAAATCGGGTAATGCACACCAAGTGCCATTTTGAACATTTTCCATACTGATACTTCAGACACATTAAAGAAAGACTGATTTCATACAAAATATTTTAATGGAAGAAGGCAAGACAATGTATAAGAAACACAAATGACAATAAATCTTTTATTTAAAAAACATTATTAAGTCGAATTAGTGCTTGATTGATCTGGCATTTAAATGACTTTTATATTCATTGAGATTAAATGTAATAGATTGAGCTATTACATTTGCTTTGAGCTATTCAGCTAGATTTCCTTGGCTTGATTTCCTTAATCTTCTGGACTCTTCTTAATCTGCAAATAAAAACAAAATATAAATTAGCATGTTGGTTTTCATACCTCTACAAACGTGCAAAAGATATATTAAAAAAATTTAAAAAAAAAAAAAAAACTCAGGAAAAAAATCAATTTGTGAAGCTATATAAATCATATCAAAGTATTTATACATATTTGAAAGCATTTCAGCCAAGAGTCTGAAAACAAAAATGCATTCACAATACATATAAAACATCTTTAAAGTGATTGACTTATTTCTCTTAACTATCTTATGATAATAAAAAGTACATTTTCAATGAAATTTTTAAATGTAATTTAATTCAAAGTATGAAATTTATAAATTCAACAAAATTCAATTAAAAAATTCTATAAACTTTTTCTTAGCCTCTAAAACAAAATTTGCATGGTTAAACAAATTCAAGATTTATAAAACACATAATCAATAAACAATATAAAATTTAAATACAATCAGAACAATGGTTACAAAGAAACCATTGTTCTGATTTTGGTGTGAAAACATCACAAAAGTTTTAAAAATAATTAATTAATGTGAAAATATGTAATAATATTTTAATTACGGAATATGAAAAGACAGCTAATTTCATTACAGAATATGTTATTACATACTGTTAAGGCGCATTTAATTTAGGTGCTAAAATAAGCATGCTTATCTACAAAAATTTACAAACAATTACATAACCATATAGTGACAAAGAAAATGAAATTTTAATGAAATTTCAGAATTCATCATCCCAGAATGCAGCGTTTAATGCAATATGAAGACGAAGTTCTATTCATCTAATATGGATATACCACGTGATTACCACAAGAATGCAATAAATACATGAGAAATACTAAGGTACAAAATTCCAGAACTTCACCTACTAATTACACTTGAGACAGTTATTAAACCAACACATTTGTGCAGTGCTCAAGTTCAGAAATAAATACAAATAATACATCAATTTGAATTCTCCGATAAAGAAGATCAAATAAAATGAAAAAATACTTACTTAAGCATATCATTCATGCGATTTCCGTTCATTTAACATTTATTCTTCAAGGACATTCTTGTTTATAGCAAGATGTCGGCATTGTACAGCTACTCTTGAATGTGTAAATGTTGCCAGATGCATGAGCTTGCTTTTTCCCTACATATTTTCCCCTAACGAACAGGTTGTTTAGAACTTTCAACAACTGAACATTAAAACAACTAAATTCAGAAATTTATAAGAGAAATGGTTAATAATAATTGCTCTTGATAAATAAGAAAATATTTTGAGAAAGTCTGAAAATTTTAAATGTAATGTTTTACACTACGCCCTTTTTACAGTCTTGTGTAAAACGCTTTGGATTTTCAAAAGCGTCAATGCCTTGGATTTTCAAAAGGGTTAGTAAAATCTTTGAAAAAAAAATTGTGTATTGAGTCCGCTTGAGAAGACTTCGCCTATCATTCGGAATGCTAATTTTGCTAATAATAATAATAATGCTAATAAAAGTACTAATAATATTTAAATTGCATTTCGAAATGGTTAAATCTTAATGTTTAATTATGTTAATGTGATTGCTTACAAGCTCGGCGCACGTAGTATAAATATTTAGGCGAAATTCAAGTGTGACGTCCGCCATTTTGAAGTGCTGGTCCTACTTACTACTACTACCTCACAGCGAAAGTTGGAAAAAGTGCATCATTGTGATTGGACGTGACTCTTCTTTTCAAGAGAGTGACCGGCTGAGCGGTATTTTGCTTGTTAGACTTTTATTTTTTGATTTGGAAACATTTTTAATTATTGAAATTTGAAATAACATTGTATAATCATATACAGAATTAGATATATACAGTGGCTCATATTTGTATTTTTGAAATTTATTTCCTTAGAGCTTGTACTAAATAGTAACTTCGAAAAATAATTTTTCATTTTTTTTTTTTCCATTTTAAGCCTTGCTTGTTATAAATTAATATTATCCATATTTCTTATAATGAAGAAATTTGTTCAAAACGTTCTAATCAGTAACTCTTATATTAATTCAGGCACTTCAAATTTTTATTGAAATGTTTTGGGACACATAGTGTTTCATGTTACAATTGTTTTTTTTTTTTGGGGGGGGGGATTTCAATGAAAATACATCACTAGAAATACTGTATGCATTTGGAAATTTTTATGTGTTTACCAAAACATATTAACAGATTATGCTGCAGATTAATCACCAAGGTAAAAGAATTTTAAAAAAGGGGGGTAAAAGAATTCTAGATATCTAAAAATTGTATGTAAAGACTTAATAAAACAATATAAACTATATGGAACTGTTCAAAATGGACTGAAGTTTGAAGGTTTTTATGTTCCAAGCAAACACAAAGGAATGAGAGATTTATTCTGCAGAAAATCAGACAAGACCCAAAAATCAGCAATGCAAAATGTTCAACTGATACAGAAGAAGAGTTTGTGATAAAAGTTAACCATAATGATTTTGAGTCATTTACTGGATGATCACCAAGAAGAAAATTCTTTTTCAGCAAGGGAAATATACCTGGTGTTCACAAAATCTATAGTAAGCAAAGTTTTATCATGTTGGAACATTGTTTATATTTGCAGAAAAGTCGAAATTAAATATATTTGGAAATTAAATATATTTGGATCTGATAGATGAATTAATATGTGGCCAAATCCAAATTAAGAATTGAATTTGAAAATTGTTATGCACAGGGATAGAGGCATAATAGTTTGAGGATGTTTCGCTGCCTTTGGAATAAAAAATTCAGTGTTCTTGAAAATAATATATATTAGTACAAATAAATATTCTCAATGAAAACCTAAAAGCATCTGGAAGGAAACTTGGAATGCAAAATACAGTCAAGTTTTGTCTGGATAAACAAACAGTACTAAATGCTCCCTTGCAGTCATTATACAGTTGGCTAAGAAAGGAACTTTGATAAAGTACAGCATTAATCAGCCACTTTCTTTTCATACGACTAAATTGTTTATTAACCTGACCCTTAAGGAAATTCTGAAGACAGGATATGGTTCAATGTGTTATGGGTATGAGATGGAAGATACTGTAGAAAGAGAGGACTGTCATTCCCAGTTTTCAAAGGAAGACAGCAGTGGCTCTACTTAGACATCTGACTGGACATGATTGTTTAGGAGAGCACCTGTACAGAAGAGATGTGATGGATTCCTCAAACTATTTTGTGCGACTCCAATCAGCCTATGATTTTTTAACATTAAAATAATTATATTGTACTTTCTTGGTGTGAGGGCATTGCTAAAAAGTACTGTAGAGACGTCTTTAGCATTTATAAAATAAAATTATTATACAGTTATTTTGAAGTTGTCAAACCTTCTCCATATCCTCCAGAGTTATATCATAGCAAATATGTATGGTATGAATTGGAGAAAAGTGTAAGAAGATATGAAACTTTTTTAAAGTTCCAATAAAAAAACAATTCTTACGTAGGAATGCAACATTCCTTATGTGAAAAATTCATGCCAAAGTGCATGAAAAGTGTAATTTTAGCTGAAGGGTATCCAATGAAAAATTGTACACATTTTTATCTATGTACACTTCGAGCTATTTTCACTTAAAAAGTAAAAGAAAATTGACAAAAATCCAATTAATTTTACCCTTGTAAAAAGCTGCAAACAAATAAGTGAGCGATATAACAGAGAATATTTTCGAAGAAAAGGCATCATTCATTATAGAAAATTACGTTTGAACAACCAATGAGATGAAATTACGCTTTAGCGATAAGTCGGTAGCGAAAATAGCGATCAGGCACAATTCAGTTATGTTTAGCAATTTTATATCAATTATAATGATGATCTTAGTAATTAATCATGTTAATTAGTCTGTTAGACAATTTTTATATAAATTTAATAATAAAAAATATATATGAAATTAAATTTTAATATAAGTTAAAACCAATATTTTTTTAATTTACTTTTTTCCGTTGGCCATTGGCGAACTTTAGAAAAAAGGCGCCAACACCAAAAATGATCCAAAGAAGTCTATATAATAACTATAACTATATACTAGTTGTGTATATAACATAGCCAATACTATAACATCGTAGCTATATGTTTAAACTATTTCTTTGAAGACCCGTTAACTACTCGTCAATGTCGGTTTTTACTGTCATCATAAAGTAGCCAATCCCGTGTGCACCCGGATAAGGATAAACCTAATATAGTTTAACATTTGTAAAAAGCCAATAAATAACGCAATTTTGTAAAAAATACATTTAATTAAGAATTTACAATGCTTTCGTGGTTCATATCACATGAACCCAAGTGATCTCATCTCACGTAAATTACGCTACAAAAAATAATTTCTCAGAAATCTACATTAATTAAGTTAATCTTAATTTGGAATACAAGTTTAAATGCAAGAATTATTTCATTTTACGAATAGCTTACTCAGAAATTATGTAAAACGCAGTGCTTAATTGTAGTGCATTGCATTAAAATGATGAATTAATCCTTGAATCATCTTTTCTGATTTTCGCTTTGTGAGCCGTATGATTGCTCCTAATTGCTTAATCCGCGAATGGCTTAGGGCATTAATTGAACTATCTGGTAAAAATTCTATGTAATTGTATGCCAGTATTGAGAGAAACAATCAATATGATAAGAAATAGCTGCAAATTGTTTTGAAAACAAGGCTGAAAAGGTTACCAGTGAGGCTATTCCGCTTGGCATCAGTTTTACCATTACTGGCGATTTTATCCCTTCCAGGTAGTATAAATGGATTGTTAATCCATCTTATGCATGTTGAATAATATTCTCTGTTAGTGTACAGCATCTGTGTTCGAAATTTGAATGACAAACAATGCAATGTTTCCGACATATTCCTTCAAAAATCGTTGTTGTAGGATTACTCTACCACTAATGTTCTTATGTCAGATGAAAAAATGTCATTGATTTCAACTATTACTGCCTATTCACCCACTAAATCTTTGGGTTTATCTTTGGATTATGGTAACTTGGCGATTTTTTGGCGAAAATTGGCGACCAACTCTGCTATAGCAACCCTCTATTTTTTTTCGCCGCCATTTTGTCTTCATGAAGTAAAGACTGTTCTTTCCTCAACACTTTTCCAACAATCTACAGCCGAAGTACACTTATGCTAGAATTTTATGTAACAAAATGCTTAATCATGACAAATATTAAACTGCAAAATTGGAAAAAAATGCACAATCGCAAACTCCTTGCGCGTTTTCAGAAGCACATACACATAAACCATTTACACGTTGACTATTTACTTAAAAAAACATCCCAGAATGCACAAAATGGCATGCACAACTTTAACGCATCACACTGCTATTCCAAAAACAAAAAAATTGCACGAAAATGCAGGAAAGGAAAAAAAAAGGAAAACTCTAAAAAGGAATATATGAAAAGGAGAAAAGTATAACCTAAAAAAAAACAAATAATTAAAAAAATTCAAAAATAAACGTCACCAACAAATTTACCGCAAACATTTAAAAGGTAAAAACTTAGGTCAAATATTTAAATTGCCATACACATTTACTTCACTGAAAGGTATACCAAATTGCTAAAAAAAAATTAACAAAATAAACTATAATTAAAAATAACAAACCATAACATCGACCTTATTTTTACTTAAAAAAAATCCCAAAATTGCACAAAATGGCATTGCGCACACTCTCACTATATCCATGTTTACACTGCTTTTTCTCATAAATTAGAAAAAACGAAAATGTATGAAAATTTGTGAATCTTAAATCCGGTTAAAAAGAACATATATGAAAACCCTGAAAAAAGATAAGGATGAACATTTCATGTATAAAAAATAAAATATCCAAAAACTTTACCTCTAAATCTATTTATATTATAAAGTCACCAGCGAATTCTACCGAAACATTAAAATGGTTACAAATACTTAGGTCAAATATTTAAATTATTTCCATGCCGTTTCCTTCAACTGTGAACATACCAAATTGCTACAAACATAAAATTCACAAAATAACTTCATAAAAAATAAACTAAACCATGTACACGTCGACTATTGTTACTTAAAAAAAATCCCAGAATTGCACAAAAATGGCATTGCGCACACTCTTCACATATCCATGTACATTGCTTTTTCTCACAAATTAGAAAAAATTCACGAAATGCATG